TAAGGCCGCGGGTTTGCGTCACAGTTGGCGCGTCTCCGCGTGATGTGATTCACGCGGTGATACGGCGCGTATCATGGCCGCCGAGAAATTGCAAGCCGCGGCTAAAGTCAGTCCGGCTGACTTAGAAGCACCATGGACTGCCACGCCGCGCTGCGCTCATCCGCTAGAATAACTTCGAGTTTGCATAATACACGGCTCTCGGGCAGGCTCGCGCTCTCCGGCGTGCCGTTCTTATCGCGTCGTGCAATTTAACGCGAGCGGTATTAAAGCGGCTAGCCTCCCGGCATCCTGATTAACGCGCGGCGCGGGCGGACCTCGCGTAATAATCGCGATCACCGAATTCGCCCGAAGAGCGCTCGTCGCGACCGCTCGTGAACTCGAGACGATTGGTTTTCACGAAACCACCGACGCGTAGGGATGCAACGATAAATCGATAATATCGAAATATCGATACATCGAGTGCAGAATATCGAATATCTATCGATATCTTCTTGTCTCCGATAAAATCGACATATCGATATGAATTTTACTGATTTTCGTATTTTGCAGTTACAGCTCTGGGGACCTATTACGGTTCAACGTGCGATTTCAACGATGAAAATTACAAAAGTGAGTGAACTAAAATATATATTATGTAATTGCCCGATGTCTAGTAAATTCGCTCACTTTTGCACATTTCCACCTCAATCGTTGAACCGTAATAGATCTCCTGCTCCATGTATGTGGCGATCTCCGGCAAATGACTGCGCGTCATTATATATACATTTTTAATAAGAATACGACAATAAATTATATGAAGATAAAAATTTTTAAAAGATCTTTTCAAATTTTTCGCGCATATCCTTTATATGCATACCCCTATATGTATACATCTTTTTTATATAAATATCGATACAAATATCGATATTTTTCAAAATTATCGATATCATCGTTATATCGATGGTTCTGAATGACGATAATATCGTTATCGATATTTTGAGAAATCGTTGCATCCCTACCGACGCGCCCGCGGCGGTGGTGATTCGATCGATTTCGGCTTTCGCGACGCGCCGATCTTCGCGTTCGCCCGCAACAGCCGATGTAATCGGCGCGGCGCGACGAGCGATTTCACCGCGGAGTATATTTCATTCACCGCGAAGAATCAAGTGCGCGCGCGACGCGTGAAGGTCCGTTCTCGTTGTCGCTTTTTCCTCCCATTTTTTTTCCCCTTTTCGAAGCACTGACGCATGCAGCTGGCATTCGCGCGTTTCTGCCAGTTGATATTATTCCCGGCTAACGATACGTAAGTAAATAAGTCGCAGCGATTATTACGCGACAGTTTATGATTGCTAGCTACTCGGCGATTAGAGAAAAGGATACGTACGCAATTTGCAAGCAATGTCTACGACGCGTAAGACTTTAATAGCAACTCCGTTCTATTTTCGCAATAACAAAACGCCGCTAACCGGCCGGCGACGCGCATATTACACCGTAACAACTTAAGAAGTGTACGCGCGCGCGCGCGCGCGCGCTAATTTATGCTTTAAATACTACTCGCTTGGCGACTTCAAGGCTTCCTCGCTCACGCGATTTCGTTCGCTTCGCGTTAACTATCATCGGGAAGTGCAAGTGCGCACGTTGCATTGCTGCATTGTGCGCTCTCGATGAAATATATCGAGGCGCGCAAACACGTCTCGCGGCTGAGCGTCGCGCGACGCCCACGAATCTCGCTTTCTGTCAGATTCGTATATAGACGCAAATCTTTTTCTGGACTCTGCGCCGATCTGCGTCAAGTACCGAGGTGAGTGTGGAGATTAAAAATAAACAGATAAAATATAGAATAAGGAATGAAAAATTTAGAGATGCCCTCCCTCCCCTCCCCCCACACACACCTTAGTACGTGATAAAATCCGCCGGCAAGAGTGCCTCGTGTAGCTTACAAGCGCGCGTGTTTACGTTCACGGAGGCAGACGGGGAGCGGATGTCAACAACTTTTTTTTCCAAGGCCCGCTCGCGGCCGGGACTTTTCGACCAAACATTTCGGCGAAACGTGATGTCGCGGGTGGAGAAACAGTAATTGGAGGACGTTAACTAGTTCAGTAATCGCGTCCGTCGCACAGTGTTGCGCGCACCGCGTGGTCGCCCGCGTCGCTTGCGTAGCTCGCCGTGGCTCTCTTAATGGCCGCGTCAAGGTTAACGATGAGGAATTTGTTGAAGAACGACGGTCTCTCCTTCGCACCTGTCCTGTGCCGTGTTCTATCCGTTTTCTACGCGCGCGCGGGATGCGCGTGTCCCTCTCTTTCGAACGACGACGAGACGCGCGCGATGTTTGTTTGGGCGGAGGTCCCTCGTCCTTCGCGTCTTCAGCTTGCCTAACGAATTCTCGCAAATTTCGACCCGCCCGCCCGGAAGTGAATCGCGACCTAGACCTTTCGCCGGCCTACCCGGAGCGTACAGCAGCCGCGCGATTTGCATGTCGTTGACAACGCGTCTTCGCTTTCTCGCTTGCGCGAGAATCTTCCTTCTCTCTTTCTCCGTCGTCTCGTCTCATCAATGACACGCGACTCGATTACTCGACGCTCGCCGGCGTGCGTATATCTCGCCGAGACGAGCCGTGATATCGGGCGGGAATCTTTTATTTGTCGCGCCTTCTCCTTCCTTCGACACGGATGACGGTTGTACGCGTGTGCGTGTGCGTGTGCGTGTGCGTGTGCCAGTGCGAGTGCGATGATCTGACGCAACATCGAGCTGCAGTTTACAGGTACTACACTTTCATTATCTGCTCCGATCCGATCGACTCCCAATCGTCGATTCGTGATAACTCTATAAATATCATCGGCTCTACATCTCTCGCACCTTCGCTCTCTCGGTCCCAAAGAATTAATTATACATTTATACATTGTATGTGTCGTAACGCTCGCGCAAAAAAGTATCCCCGTCTCGCGCTCGGACCCGCGGTGCAATTGTCCGATGATGGAATTGACCACGGGAGGTCCACACGTGGACGCTCGCTACGTCGCGAGAAATGATCAGGGGTCACACGAGTCGAATTATTTGTTCGAACGCCGTCGTGTGACACGAGCGATACGGAATTGTAAATAGTCGCGTGAAATATTTTTCACGAGGGCTCACGCCGAGACCGCCATTCATTCATCCGTCATTAATCGTCGGCTAAAATCGTGGCTTCCTGAGTCTCTCTGCTTATTCGTTCATCCGTACTGCACTAGGGAAAAGAATTTAGGGGGAGAAGAATTTATCTCTAACAAAACTGTTTAGTTGGGGCATTTTTTAATAGCAACCAAATATCTTGTTTTATATAACAAAATATTTAGTTGCCTCAACTAAATATATTTTTCTGCTTTGTTCTCTGGGCCGAATGATTTTGTTCTTAGACTTCATATATAAAAATTAAGCATTTTAGTTATTTTATCCATAAAAATGACATAATAACGAAATATTATTTTACATAAACTAAAATAATGCCCAAAGGATACTATTTTGTCTTACTGTGCACTCAAATTTAGATTCTATATATTAAGAAAAGATTATAGTATTTTTAACAAAATTCATATAGTGAAAGCTTTTTGGTTGCTATAACAAAAGTATTACGTTATACGAACAAACCGTAATCAAACAAGATATTTGTTCACAGGAACTAAACAGTTTTGTTGGGCATATTTTAACCAAATTATTTTGTTGTTACAACAAAATTTTGGTTCACGCAACAATACATTTTTCCTAGTGTAGTAGTCGTTCGGTATGCAAGAATCTAGCTAATTACAGCCAATGAAAGATCGTAAACAGTTGTCAACCATGAATTCAACCGGTCTCTGAGAGCATTCCGCGTTTGAGGTGCCTACTAGGCATCCAGAGGAAGCAACCCTTGAGGAAGCAACAATTGAGGAGGAGGAGGTAACCCTCCTCCTCCTCAATTGTTTCGAACAGCGCGGCTCGCCCGCGATTCCACGCGTTAAATTTCACCCTCCTCGGTGCCTCCTGCACACATCAACCCTCGGCAGCGCGAGTCACTCCTCTGCGCGTCTCGTTCTCTCTATCCGCCTCCAGCGAACAGAGTCGGGTGTGAAATCACGGGCCGGTTCTCTTACGTCTATGCGACTTACATCTTTTTCCGCTTAGGACATCCGAGGTGTGAAAATCGTGGCCGCGGTTCTTCTCGAGACTGCACCGACGACAGGTCGCGTCGTCGCGGTGATATCGGGCGAATCACCGCGGCGTGGTATCGGCGTACCTCGACGAGGACGATCGTCGGAGGTGCGGGAGGGAGGGTGGGGGCAAGGGGAGGGCAGCAATCGGCTCCTTCCTCCTGCGCGTTTCCTCTCGCTCTTGTCAGCGTTCCTATCGGCGCGCGTGCACGCACAATAAACACACGCGCGGGGACAGATTTCTCACTCGTTTCGGGCACTACGCGCGGAAGAAGAAGCAGCAGCAGCAGAAGAAGAAGAAGAAGAAGAAGAAGAAGAAAAAGAAAAAGAAATCGGACACGCGTTCTCGCACCGTCTGGTCCGTTTTCTCAGGCACTTGCACGCGCACTTGCTCCTCATTTGTCCGGCACTTCCGGCGCCATGCGCCACCCCGAGCACCGCCGGGTCCCAGCAGTCAGGGTCGTCAGGAACCTCCGACGTGGTTTCTCACCGCCGCGTCTCGTGGTCGGAGATTGTTTGCTCGCGCACAAACGTAACGGGATACCGTCGGCCGCGCGTGCGGAAGCGATGAAGCGATATGTTATGTAATGTGCGAATTGTACGAAATTGCGGGCGCGCGGACGATGTAAACGACGGATGCGACGATGCGTTGACAGCGTTGGACGTGTGTTGCACCGAGAGAGAGAGAGAGAGAGAGAAAGAGAGAGAGAGAGAGAGAGAGAGAGTGTGTGTGTGAGGGAGAGGGAGAGAGGTCTCTTGCTTTCTTTCTCTCTCTCTCTCTATCGACATCTATAAATAATCTATAAATAATTTATACACGACTCTTCTCTATATTCTCTTGTTGCTTTCTTGTTTCAGACGGCTTGGGGATTTCTCGTCTCGTCGAGACGGAAAGGCAGTGATACGGACGACGCGCGCTCCTGTCGACGCAGCAGACTCGGTGAGTGAATTTTATCTTGAATGATGATGGAAAGGCAGCATGATCGTCTTCCCGGCCTCGTGGCCAGTCCATTGACGCGCGCGCGCTTCCTCGTTCCCGCGCGAAGCTCTTCCGCGACAGGCAGCGTCACCGAGCGCCTCCACGCGGGGAATACTCTCCCTCTCTCTCTCTTTTCCCCACGACGTCGTAATCCGCTCTCGGTGTTATTTATCTTGCTGGGGGGTGGCGAACACTCGCGATGTCGTCTTGCCCGTTTCCGTTGCGTAGCAAGTCTTCGCGATCACCCAGCTAGCACGGTCGAAGGTCAGCGCTGCGACCTCCAGGCACTCGGCGGGTACAATAACTCCGTAAACACGGCCACTTATCGAGCCACTATGCTCTTGATCGCTCTCTCCAAAAATCGTTATCTTGCTCCGTTCACGTAGATAAGTCGTGACTCATGCAACAGCGATCTTATCTTTGACTGTCACGCGGTTTCTTGCGCATCGATAAACACATCGGCATCACTCAGGTGTCCTTCGTAACCGTCCGATCGTGCGACCCGTCTTCAGGTACTCCTGCAGGCTCGCCCGCGTCTCAGCATCGTTCTCACTCGCGCGATGATAACACACCAATCATCCAGGTCTCCTCGCGAACGCCGCGGAATTCTCGACCGACGCGTCAATCGTTGGAAATCGACGCCTCTCGCCATCCGACTCGCTCCTCCTTGCTTTCTTCTTTTCTCTCTTGCGGTTCAGTCGCGACTCAGTTGCGACCCTCTCGCGTTCACGTGCGTATACGCGGGCGGACCGAAACGTTGGTTGGAACGGTGCAACTGTTGGATAACACGCTCGCCCGGCCCTCCTTTTCCTTTTGGCGAGCGCGCGACTCGCTCAACAGGAAGTCGCGCGCTGATCTTTCGGCGCGCGGTTGTCGAACTCTGCGCGCGCGTCTAGTTCTCCCGTTGACGTTCGCTCGCCGCCGAAACCGTCCTGAAGCCCGGGTTGTATCGCGTCGTCCAACGGAGGGACGGGATGATGAAAGTTGTTTGCTGCGACGTCGTTCTGATGGCGCGAAGGCCTGAATTGCAACGTAGTCTGTAGTCTCTTTCTCTCTCTCTCTCTCTCTCTCTCTCTCTCTCTCTCTTCCCCCTCTCTCTCTCTCTCTCTCTCTCTCTCTCTGTCTCTCGATCCGCCTCGTAAAATGCGAGTCGACCACGATCGACACGGCTGACTTTCCACGCGCCTCGTCTTATTCTCCGGTGTTTGCGGATATTGGCAGTGTCTCGTTAAATATTGGAGCCTCCGAGCGCGCTCGACAGGCCGTACGGCAGTGTATCGCGATGTGAGCCGCCTCGAGCTTCGCCGCCGTGGTCTCTTCCGGTCTCTTCGGTGGGCTCTCGCGTCGTTTCGGGGACGCGCAATCGGAGCGCATGCCCGACCTGCAGAGGATCCGCGTGTGACTTTGGCCGTGGTCGAGCTTACGCGCGGGAGTGAAGAGATCGCGAGGCGGGCAACGCAGCGGGCTTTCGATCGGCCATTGGCTCGGAAATTGCGTTTTTCTCTTTTTTTTTTCTTGCTTCTTTTTTTCTATAAAACTGGCAGTGCTTTCGTTTCGAGATCAGACTCGGCTTCGCTCACGTTGCGTCCGTTGTGCGTCCGATGGACGTGGATTAGGTTCGCCGGTTCTCGACGATGACGACGACGACGACGGCGAGCGGTGATGTCGGGGTCGTGTTCGCGAGTCGTGAAATCTCGCGATAAACTCTAGACGCGGCGTTCGAGACGGCGAGGCTCGCGGTTCGACGTTGGCGAAAGGTAATAACAGAAGGGGAGAGCGAGAAACACGCGGAGTACAACGAGCACAGAAAGCGAGAGAGAGAGAGAGAGAGAGAGAGAGAGAGAGAAAGAGAAAGAGAGAGAGAGGACGACAGAACCGCGGCGCTGAATAATCTCGCTCGATAGCACTTCCGGTTCGAGAGCCCGTGCACTTTCTCCCGTCAGCGGCGCGAGCAAGCCGACTCGAGCGTTCCCCTCGGCCGGTCGAGATCGGATCCCCCGACCTGTCGGCTGATCTCGCAAGGAGCTTTGCAATCCGGTCGCGACGAGTTTGGCACATCGACGACTTCCGATCCGCCGTGCCGCGGCGCTCGCAGGTGGGACGATCCTCCCGCGCACTTTCGCGTTTCCCGTGGCGTGGTATGTTGCGTCGCCGAGCGGGATCCTCTCCGAATTTAATGATCGGCCTCGTTTAGAGCGCCATGGGACGACGCTCGCGTGTCGAGGGCAACGTCCGCAGCCGATAATTCTAGAATTGTCCGAGTGCGCTTCGATTTCTCGCGCTACCACCACCACCACCACCACCACCACCACCTCCTCCTCCTCCTCCTCCTCCTCCTCGTCGTCGTTGTCCTCCTCCTCCTCCTCCTCTTCCAATTTGACGCACCTCCTCCCCCTCCTGCGCCTCCGCCGCCTCCTCCTCCCCGTCCTCCTCCTCCTCTTCTTTTTCCACCCGCTGCACCACCTCCTACTTGGCCGACCTTCCGAATTGACGCGCGGCAACTCCGTGACCTCCGCGGAAAAAGTGGAGCGAGGGATTCGGCCGGGTCGGCGAACGTCACACTCGGGTGGCGCGGGGCCGAAACCGGGCGGCAGGTTGTCGTAGGTCACACACACGCGTACACAAGAGGCACAGACACACGCGCAGGGGCCAGCGTGGGCCGCGTCTCACGAGACCACCGACCGCTTCCGGTTCCCCTCGCTCTCCTTCTCTGCCGCTTTCTCACTCTCTCTCTCTCTCTCTCTCTCTCTCTCACCCGCACAGGCACGCACACGTGGGGACTCACACGGCCGGATCATCCAAAGCGCGCGCGCGCGAGCGCGCGCGGGCGCGCGAAAGCGAAGACCTTACGAGAGAGGGTGTCGCGCGCGGATCGAAATTCGACGCGATCGATGTGCAAGCGGGGGATGGAGGGGAGGGGGCGCCGGTGGGGCGATGGACCCCCGCGAATATCGCTGGTCGCCCCTGCCGTGTTGTTGTCGGTCTCCACCTCTCAGACGCGGCTTAGCCCTCAGTTTCGGGGCTTTTTCCCCTCTTTTCCCTTGTTCCTTCAGCACTTATCTTTTTTCACCACTGGGCTCCGTCGCTCACGGGAGCGCCGAGACACGCGACTCCCGGGGGCCTCCTCGCGGCGTTGGCGCGCGCGTCTCTCGTCCCGCGTTTTCGTCGCGGCGCGCGGCCGCATCCGTCGTCGTGGTACGTCGTGCTGCGCGGCCGCCGCGTACGCTTGTGCGTGCGTGCGTGTGTGTGTGTGTGTGTGTGTGTGTGTGTACGCGCGCGTGCATAAAACGTGTGTCTCCGCGCCGTCGTGCCGGGAGGAGGTGTAAACCGAGTGTGTGTCGAGCTGAGTTGGCTTCGACAAAGTAGGGCGACGACTGGGACAGCGGCCACGGGCACCGGCGCTGCTCGCTCACCGACGAGGAGAATCCGCGGCGCGCCGTGCGGTGGAGGAGCTGTGGAAGTGGAAGAGAGAACCCTCCTTGTAAAACGGCAGCAACGCTGCGCTCTACGTTCTCCAGTAGGGGAAACCTCTGACACCGCGCCGCGCCGCGCCGTCGCTGCAACAAGCCACACCGCCATCCGACACCGAGCTAAGCCGAGCCGAGTCCGCGGGTCTCTCTCTCTCTTGCTCTCTTGCTCTCTTGCTCTCTTGCTCTCACACTCTCGCACTCTCACTCGTCCGTTCTCTTTCTCGCTATCGCCGCCACGCGCGTGTCGGAAAAGCGCGTCGCGACTAGTTAGGCAAGGCAAGCTCGTGAGCGCTTCGAAAGCTCTTGGACGTCCCGAAGAGTCGAAGAGTTACGGAGCGGTCGCGCTGATACTCAAAAGCCGTTTCCCTCTCTCTCTCTCTCTCTCTCTCTTGGCTTTATTTCGGAGAGTATTTTGATTATTGAATGAAGTTACACGAGCGCTTCATCAATCTCTTTGGCGCGCTTCGATAATAGAAAATGAAGCCTCCTCCTCCTCTTCTGGCTACTCGCGATCTCCCCCCTCCTCCTCCTCCTTCGAGGCTCGATTTAGCGAGGCTCCTTAGGCTCTCGAATACTTGGTGTCTTGGCGACGCGACGCATTTTGTAATAACTCGATCGGAGGTTTCGCGAGCGCGGGTGTAGTAGAAGAAAAAGTTGCCTCTACCACAGGATTTCGCAGGATGTCGGGCGCAAAAAGTCATCGATATCTCTGTAATTTGGACTCTGTGTCTCATGAAATATTGCGTCTGCACCGTCGCGCGACCTTCTCTCTTCGTTAATGCGGATGATGCTCTATTTTCGCGGCCAGCTGGCCGCCGTCGCCGTCGCCTTATCGAGTGCGGCTCGATAATCGAGCCGCACTCGATAAGGCTGCATTTAACCGCGAAAAATTCGCTCGATCCTCCTCCTCCTCCTCCTCTTTCGATTGACGCGATCGAAGCGCGAGCCGAGAATCGACTGACCACCGACACCTTCGCCTTTGTTTTGTTTACTTGTTTATGCGCATATGTGTAATTTCAACGATTATCAACTGCGATTTTTATCTTGCGCTGTTAGAATTTCTCGCGTATCTATTCTCTGCGACAATTGCGCTTCTCTGACGTCACGACGACGTTAGAGCGGGCACTCTAATTTGCATTGATACGCGTCGAACACACTTTATTGCGATCTGTTTGCTGCGCGCGTGCGCACAGCGGCACGGTGCTCCGAAAGTAACAACAACGTGACGCTTTGGCGTCGGCGAGCGCATTCGCCAAAGTAATGACGCGCGTGACGTCGTCAGCGCGAATTCAAGGGGGTGTCATTTTCGTCATTGCGCCGCGGCGTGATTCGCGTGCCGCCGCAGCCGAAGAGGAACGCACACGTCTGCGCGCGATTTATGCAACATTTCGCTTTGCGGATGCTGAGAATGTTCCGCCGCACAATTTCATCGCGACCGGCATCGACTTACCAAACGACAAATAATCCCGCTCGACGAAGACTCGCGGGCGC